GTGGGGGTCGAGGCTGTTCCGAGGAGCGGGTTCCGGACGTGGGGGCGCGGTGGTCTCGGCGCCGGCGGGCCCCGAGTGGCCGTCGGGACCGTGGCCTCTCTCCAGGGCTCTCGGAGGGACCCGGGGAGGGCGGCGAGGAGCCGGGACACCGGGCGGTCCTGCGGGGCCACCGAGCTGCAGCTGCTGCCCGGAGACGCTGCCGCCAGAGCGGAACCCGGAAGCCACCCTCGAGGGGACGCCACGGAGCGCTGCAGGGCGCGCCGGGTGCTGGCAGAGCCTGGTCTTCTGAGGGCACCGCGGGCCAACAGTGTCGAATTTCCGACTTCAATGCAGGCAGCACCCAAAACAGTGTAATTGGGCGATTTTCTTGAGGGGTGCAAAGTACCAAAACTGACACCAAGAAAGAGAAAATACAAGTGGCTCTTTATCTGTCAAAGAAATTGATTTTGTAATCAAGCATATTTCCACAAAGAAAATTCCAGGCCCGGAGAGCTGCCCTGGTCAGTTATATTTAAAGAATGAGACCAGTCCTACCACTCAGAAAGAGGGGGAGGGGACACTTCCCAGCTTGACTGAGGAGGCCGACCTTACCCTCATAGCAAAACCAGATGAAGACATCACAAGAAAAGGAAACTACAGACCAGTGTCCTTCATGAACACAGAGATCCTTTTAAAAAATAAGCAAATGGAATCCGTATCCATCTACATGGAGCAAAAGTTAAAATACCTAATATCCTAACTTTCAAGGCAGTGTGGTATTGGTAAGGGCATAGACATAGATCAGTGGATAGAGTAGAGAGCCCAGAGAACTCAAACACCCTACACCAAGTGATGCCAGGACAACTGGACGTCCATTTGGGAAAAAAAGAGAACCTCAGTTGGACCCAAAAGCATGAACCTTCAAAGGAGGAAAAGATAAATCTGACTTCATTAGAAATTAAAACCTTCTGGTCTTTGAAAGACACCGTTCAGAAAATGAAAAGGCTAAGCCACAGGTTGGTAAAGAATATTCAGAATAAGCTGACCAATAACTTGTATCCAAAATATGAGGGAACTCCAAAAAGCCCATGGAAAGATTCTTATTTTAATTTTATTTTTCCATGAACTTTTTGAAGTACTCTTGTATTATTTAAAACTCAAGAGTGTGATGAGAGAGTGGTAGACAAGTCAACACAAGAAGGATATGCAAGTGGCCCGTGGGCACTTGAGAAGGTGCTGGGTTTCACCAGATATTACAGAAATGTGTGTTAAAACAATGAAAAAATGGGTTACCATTATCCACCCACTAGGATGGCAAAATCAAAAATGTTGGTGATACCAAGTGCTGGTGAGGATGTGGGGGAGCTGGATCTCTCCTCCGCTGCTGATGGGAATTTGAGAGGGCACACCTCTTTGGAACTCTCTCCCTGGGCCAGGCACCTTCTGGCTGAAGATACCCCCTTACACATCTACACTTTCTGTTAGCGCCCCCAAGGACAGGGAAAGATGTCACCTCAGCCCTGTGTGCACCAAGCCCTCCAGGATGGGCTTCCCTGTGAGGTCTTCCAGGCTAGAACCCACAGCGCTGCAGCCACTCCTGGGCCACAGCCTCCAGGAAGGACAGCTGGTGGGTTGCCCCCTGCACTGTGAGCACTTACAGGCCAGCTGATGCTGAAAGAGCGGCAGCTGTTTCTGTGGACAGAAGATGCTCTTTAGAAGATCTGAGTGCAAGGGGATATAGTTTGCACTTTTTCTGTCGCCACGGAACTGGTGACTGGGCCCAAACAGAATCCAACTTGCTCTTTGAGGAAAGCCAAAAACACCACCAAACCAGAAATCAGAGCACAACCACGGAGCAGACAAAGCTGGAGCCCCTGCCCCCAGGCTGCTCTGGTGGACAAGGTGCCTGGCCCTGGCCCCAGTGACTCCATCCCGAGGACCCACATCTACCTCCCAGGGGTGCTGCTGGGCCTGCCAGTACTGGCCTCGAGGCCATGGCCACGCTCCACGTGTAACAGGCGTGTACTTCTTCACGGGGATGGCCTGGCCTGTTCTGGGTGCCCACCTATACCCCTGTTTCTCCTCCTCCCCTCCCTGTTCTCTCCTCTTTCTCCCTCTGGCCACCCTGCTCCCTGGCCTCTGCTGATCTCTTTCAGGCTTCGGGGAATTCTTTATTGATCCTGAATTAAGGAATGACCTGGGAGACGTGGTTTCACTAAGAGAAAAACAATCTTTACATGAGTAACTGGAAATAGCCCCTTCCTCCCCACACAACATGGGCTCTCCAGTGACCAACGGTTACAATTAATTTTCAGGTTCAGACAGCCGAGAAGCGGCTCACACGGGCCCCCAGCAGCGCCCGCTGTAGCACAGCTGCCACCAGAGGGCAGAAGAGCCCTTCTCTGGAAGTGGCCTCTCAGCTTCAGGGAACAGGATGAGATGGAGCTTAGTCAAGCACAGAAGTGAACTTGACAAGCCCTGAATGGAGAGAAAGGGCCCCCCACCAGGGGGCCAGGGCATGCGGAGCCCACCAGATGGGCACATCGGTTCCCCAACCCCACGAATGAGCCCTGAGCCATGAGGTGGGGGAGACACAGGGATGTGTTGAGGGGCTTCCGAGCCGGACCCTGTCCTAGACTGGGCTGTGGTGGCCAGGGTCCCAGGGCAAGGCCTGCAGGAGCCGGGAGAGTGGAGTCTGAGCAGACAGCCATCTGCAGGGCTGGGTGTGTGGGGACCGGATGCGGCTCCTCTTCTGAGAGAGGAGTGGGTGGGGAGGAGGCTGCGTGGGTCTCAGCACAAAACAGAGCTCCTGTCCCCTCAGCGCCTGGGAACCACCTCATCCAGTCCTGTCACCACCTTGCAGCTGTGTTCACAGGTGCCTCGTGGCCCAGTGTGTGGTGGCCCCAGGGAGTAGATGCAGAGGTGTGAGCTGGGCAGTTGCCGTCTTGGGTCAGCAGAAACAACTCCTGGGTGGGGGGCAGAGAAAGGCAGCTTGGGGTCGTCACCATCACCCCCTCTGAGACCACATCGAAGTTAAGATAAAGTTGGACAAGGCTGCAAACTTTGTGAAGACAAAGGGAGGTTTTCATTGGCAGGGGGAGGCTGGACAGTAGGCGTAGATGGAGGGGTGGACAAGGGGTGAGGACCCCTAAGCAGTGGCTGTCCTGTGGCTCAGATGCACAGCAAACACAAACGATGCCATTCGAGCTACTTTTCGGTTTGCAAAATTTGTAAGGAGGATCCACGTGTTGGGAGTTTCTGGATCCAGTGCAGACTGGCCCCTGCTCATCACAATTCCCCGGTAACAAAGTCTTGGCTTTTGTCCCTGGACATGCATAGGGGTGACAGCTCTGTGAATCACCAGCAGGGCAGGGAGTTCCAGTTTGTGGACTCCATGGCCAGAGTCCAGGCTCAGAAGGATTCTTCACAGGAGCGCCTGGGGCTGCCAGCCAGGGCTGCTGGCCAGGACTGCTCTTGCAGACAGTCCAGCCTGCTCTGCAGCCCGAGAAGGCACCTCCGGGCCCCAGGCCACCAAGTGAACAAGACCAGAAGGCTCTGGGGGTTCCCAGGGAACTACCTGTGGTCAACATGTGGGACCAGCACCCCCAGATAGCCCACAGCACAGTGGGACCTGCCCTCTGGGCAATGACCTATGGGACCAGGGGTCTCAGGAGTCCACAGTGAGAGCTTGATCCTCTTTGAGTCCCCACCAGGTGTCTACCCCAGAGGCAGAACCAGAGCCTTCCGCCTCAGGGTGCAGGTGGACACCTGCTCCTGCCCACCTACCCTGGACATGTCCCAGTGCCTGCACTCAGGAAGCTTGCACAGCACAGGTGTGGATTGCCTGGGGCAGGGAAGGCCCGGGGTGGGGGCTGCTTCAGAGCAGGGCCACGCTGCAGGGGTGCTGGACCCAGGGCAATGATGCCACCTCGGAACTCTCCCCGCAAGCAGCCCGACCTTTCCTCAGGAAGTGAGGCTGAGGCAGGGCAGAACGAGGACACACCCCAGGGAGGCTGTTCTTAAACTAGCCAGCGCCTGTACACCAGGAGGATCAAAAGTGCAGGCGACCGCCTCTTCTGTCAGAAAGGAGAAGGTCGGGACGTGCGGCTCTCTCTGGCAGAGATACCTGCACACCACTTTGGCACGCACCTCCACGCGGTGACACAGCCCTGTTATGTTCTGTTTCTC